TTGAGGGGGTAGCTAAGGACTCCATCGAGATCGATCAGTTTGCCATCGAGATCCCCCTGGTAGGCTTTGCTCCTGGTTCCGAATCCAGCAGCCCTGGAAGCTCCAGCAGCAGCAGCAACTTTCCGACTGCTGGCAGAGGTGGCCATGTTGCGCCGTCTGCTTTGAGCAGGTCCCCAACGGGCATCTCAATTCCGAGGCGCAGCCATCTGCCACGGTTGAATCCGCGCATGGTCATCCTTCCCAAGCTGCATATCTCGAGCATCTCCTCTGCTGCCCCCAGTTGGCGGTGATGGTGTCGCCACTGCAGCTGTGGCAGCTGCATCCGCTGGTGATGGCTGGTATGGTGGCCGCTGTGGATGTGGGCACAAGGTTGTGAACGTCAGAGGCTTAGAAATCTAGTCGGTGGCTTTGCTTGTCTTGGTCACCATGGCATGATGCCTTATTGGGCCCTCTAGACATGCAGATTCATGTTAACGGTTGGGCTCGCAGCTGGTGTGTACCTGGGGACTGGTCATTGCTGGGCATTTGCTCATTTGCTGGTGTTGCAGGTTGTGTAGATATAGGCACAGATGGGCATGTATCTGTAAGTGCCCTGAGTTGTACAAGGAAACAGCTACAGATATGAGTGGTAGCATGGGCGGAGTAGGTTTGTACGGCTGAATATGTGTACACTTGTGTACGGCTGAATACATGCCTTGGCATCTCTGAACGGGCCTGCATGTGTTGGACTGCTGTTGGGGGTGCTGGCTGTGAGGTGTTTGCAGCTCAACAGTGGGTGTACTGCTTTCAGGAAGGGAGGCGCGCTGGGGCAGCAAAGTGATGTTGTATGAGTAGATTGTTTGGCAAGCAAGGGTGTGAGAAGTCATTGCAATTGTGTACTTTGAGGGCAGGTGGCACAGGCTGGCATGGACCTCCTGGATTGGAGTGTAGTGTGATTGCATGTTGACCTTGCCCTGGACATGAACCTGTGGGATGGAGGAGGGGAAAAGGATGTCGATCCTGGCACGCGGCACTTGATTGTGAAGTAATGCAACATGATGCAGACAGACAGTGCGCCTGCAATGGGATGGTCATGTAAGTGCCTAAATAATGAGGAGGCATGGCAATCCGTGCAGCACCTAAGCTTGACCTGTTAAACAGGCTCGATAGACGGTCATTGGCAAAGAAGTGGTCAGAGACTTTGCTGTGCGGGTGTATGGGGGCTGCATTCAAAACAAAAGCAAAACAACACTTACTAAATGATGAACCCAAAACGATTAGCATGGTGCTTTCCTTGAGATACCTGTCACGTGCTACACCGTCATGCATGAAGGGAAGGTAGCATTTTTGGGCGGGGCCCCAGCGCGAAGCGCCCAGGGGGCCCCTGACCTGTAGGATTGCCCATGTCCGTGTGTGTGTGTGTGTGTGTGTAACGGACCAAACATAATATCTCGCCCGGCTGAAACGCGAAAGTCACAACGCCTCTCGGGCTAAACTTAATCTCAAAAGGTACCGCGTATCTCATATTGAATTCTTAGATGACGGCGTATGATAGCTCAAACTCCCAGGCCTTGAGTGTGTAACGGACCAAACATAATATTTCACCCGGCTGAAACGCGTTATCGGTACTATATAGCATTCTCTATTGCAAGGTATCTCGCATGTAGCTAACAAAGATCGTATGAGCACAAACAACTTGGGCTGCCTCCATTGACCGAGCTCATAGTCACATCAACGCCTCTCGGGCTAAATTTCATCTCAAAAAGGTGCCGGGTAACTCATCATTGATTTCCGAGATGACAGCGTATGATAACTTGAACACCCAGCTTGTGTTACCATTTGCCCGCACGGGCATTCCGACTTGCCACCAGCAGGCCGACAAATTTGCTTACATTTCTCTATGAAATACGCAAGCTGCGCATATGTACATTTACTTTAGCCAATGCTCGGGGCCTCCGGAGACTTGCGGTGTGCCCCGATGAAGCCCGCGGCTGTGGGGCGGATTGCTGAGGCCGCTGGCGCTTCGGGGATAAACATCACAGACAGCACCGAAATTCACCCAGCTTTCGTTACCATTTGCCCGCACGGGCATTCCGACTTGCGGTCTGCCGCACTGTCCATGCGGCATGGGATTAGGGTTGTTGAAATTATTAGAATTTCAGGCGTTCTCTACTAACTATAATATTATTTCTAATTAGAACGTTAGAAATAATATTAGAAGACCTGGGGTAACTTCTCAGGGAGGGGGACTTTTCACTTCGGAGTTTCACCATGGTTACGGCAGATGCTAACCCAGGTGTTTTTAACGGTTTTTACGGGGCTACGACACCCGTAAGCAGGACTTCTCAGCCAAACCCCCGGTCGAAGTGACCTCTGGGTCACTAATTTCGCCTTTAAACTGTCTTAGACTGTCTTAAACTGTCTCTGCGTACGCCTTCCCAACATCTTTGGTACCTGAACCAAGAGTCCAAGAGTCCAGTCCTAATTGTCTGCAAAGCAACACCCAACACACAGTCTGGACATGCCAAACCTGTCGCCCCAAAACTTCTAGCAAAATCCTCATCAACTCATGCAAATTGCCCCAAGGCTTCCACGGCCCCTTCCTTCACTCCCCCTGCACGTCCAGCCCCTCCAGCAGCTGCATCAGCACCTCCTCATCCATCCCACACCGCTCCATCTGCAAGGCCTTCCGGTTCTGCCGGATGTAAATCAGCTGCGGAGGCGGCCTGAATAGCCATTCTAATGGGTGTACGACATTAGAACGTTCTAA